CCCGGTCATCCGGAAAATCCTCCGGCCTCATCGCCATAAACAGTTGGCATTGTCCCAAGAAGGCCGGAAACATCTCCTGCTGCCCAGAAAACCTATCTGGCACGTTCACTGGGCATCTCGGACGGGGAGGGGGCGGAGGTGGTGCTGCAGGAGCATTTCCCAAAGCAAGTTGGGCAGTTAGCTGTGCTACTTGCTGTTGCAGAAGCTGATTGGCCTCCAGCATCTGCTGTAACTGCTGCTGCAGCTGTTGGTCCATCGTGGGTTAACGATGGAGTATGTGGTGACGAACAAGATGATCTGTCCCCATACCCACACACACACAAATGCAGCCAGCCGAGGGTTAAGGAAACACTTTGGAACGCACTCAGGTCTTATCTCCCACTTGGCAGCGATAGACACACCGTCTGCCAAGTGACTTTATTTTCAAAGTAAAACAGAAAGATAAATACTCAAGAGTCCAAATGTCCGACACTTTAAATCTTTCTCTCAGCAGTTCCGGACGAGGCTTTAGTGACTATCCAAGGTTTGCTTTGTTCGTCACAAGGATCCTTTGACCACCACCCTCTATTATATAGTCTCTGGGGTGTGGTCCAGTGACTCAGTTCTAATCCCTAGCACGCCTCCTAAGCTGCTGCAAACGTTTATCACGCCTTCGGAGGCGTGCGTCCAGGAATGATGTTTCTTCATCACTCTGATCCGAACCAGCTGTCTCCTCTCCCTCGGCCGGCACTTGAGACAATGCTAGAGGGGAGGGGCCTGGAGAGGGAGGCCTGGCTGACTCCTCTTCCTCATGCTCGGAGCTTTCTTCCTCCGATGGGACAGGCTCAGAGGGCGGGGCCACAACAGGCCGTTGCCATGTGGCAGGGAGCCAGGTACGTGACCAATAAGCCCATCTGTACTCCACGACCCCACTTCACAAAGAGGGACTCACATCCGGCTATCTGTGGAACAGTGGTCTCCCTTGGATCCAGACCTTCCTTTATAATAACCGCCACCCCCACCCCCCGCCCCTGCCCTGAGCCCTCGGCTTGAGCCAGGCTAAGATTCGATATTGGGATAAAACTCAAATATTAGAAATCCAAATCTTTGGTCAAGGCAGAAGTGCCTCTTCCGTGCCAAGGTGCTGAATTGACAAACGGTATTTGACGTAGGTACAGCATTGTAAAAGGGCAAACTGACCCTAAACAGATATATCCTGTTGTTTAAATGTTTATTACACCCCAAATGTCATGTAGATTTTAGAGAAGAAATACTGCTTCCCTTACTGTCCTCTTTACTGCTCTTGAGGCGCCTTTGAGCCCCTTTATCTCCTCTTTTATTATGTCTTGAGCTCCGGAGCTGAGAATCTGAGCCTGTGGGAACCAGGCTGTTATGTCTTTCCTAGAGATAAATTAAAGGGTAACTTCTACGTGTGAAATGTTGCACTCTTCGTAATAACTTTGTCTTTATACTGTATAAATATCTGGTTGAAATCAGCCATCACTGTTCAGACTTTTCGTTGTCTTTGGACTGTTTGAACCTTGCGCAAATAAACTCTTTCCTGCACTGAAGAGCTTGTTCTAGTCCGTCATTTTTCCTGTAACACCTGGCGACCGCGGCAGGACTAGGTGCAAGGCGATATTTCGCTGAGGACCGTTTCGACCCCTCGGGACCATCGGGAGGTCGCTCCTGAACATTCTCCAGGCGCCACGGAGATACATCTCCGGGAGACAGCCGCGATAACCCTGTGGGCCCGACGGTGCTCTGATCGAGTCCAAGAACCCTGCGGTGCAGGAAAGGTGGTCTGAACAAATTCCTGGCCAGGAATCTACGGAGTGGGAGCGTTTTTAAGTGAGTATATTGTAAAGGAGTATTGTACCTGCCTCTTTTGAAGGCAGAAGAAGGGATTTGATCACTCCCTTGGACTCGGGGTAGGCTACCCTAACGAAGTCCGTGTCAGGTTGTGTGGGTGGTTAAGTCATCGCATTTCTTGTTAGTGGCCGTGAGTCTCCAGGGCTACGAGTCGACGGCAGTGCGATAAGATGGGAGGGGCTCAGAGCGTGCCAAATACTCCTTTGGCATGCATGTTAAAAGGTTTTGACAAGTATTTCAGCAACCCTTCCTATCCGAAAGGATCAAAGGAGCGATTAAAATTTTTATGTAAGCATGTGTGGCCATTATTGGGGACAGGGTGGCCCCCGCAGGGATCATTAAGGGAGGAAACGGTGGATAAGTTGTGGGGGGTGATTGTAGTAAATCAGGATAAATATCTTGATCAATTTCAATACATTGATCAATGGGCGAGAGCCCTAACAGAAAAAGCTGAGGATTTGCTGCAGTGTCAGGCTGAAATGGTCAGGCTGTGTGTATCCAGATCTGGCGGAAAAATTAAAGGGGGGAGAGAAGGGGGGAGAAGTGAGCAAGAAAAAACCCAGGCAAAAAGAGGAGAGGAATATTCAAGAAGGAGAAAAGTATTGACAGAAGATGAGGAGGAGTTAGTTAGACCCCCACCGTATGCTCCATTGTGGCAGCAGCAGCCCCCAGCGCAGCAGCCCCCAGTGCAGCAGCAGCCCCCAGCGCAGCCCCCAGACCAACAGCAGCAGTTGCCGGGAGCTGTAGGAGGAGAGGGAGGTGGAAATCAGAGATGCATGAGCGATCCTGGGGCTAGACCGAAAATCAGGAAAATTCCCTCGCTGGAAGAAGGTAGTCGGAGTGAAGGAGAAGATCGGGATGATAAGGGGTTGAAGGAAGCAACAGGAGGAGAGCAGGTGGGGGTGCAAACTCGCGCAGTAACAGCGAAGTTGAAGGCTAGCAAGCAAGAAGTTACAGCGCCTTTGTGTCAGGTGGATCAGATAATAGTAAACCAGCAGGGGCAGGTGGAATGTCAGCCCCTTTTTCAATATGTGCCGTTTACTACTACTGATCTTTTAAATTGGAAGCAACATTATGGGCCACTGACTACTAAGCCCACTGAGATGGCGGACCTGTTTCAAACTATTATGTTAACACATAATCCAACGTGGCAGGATGTACAACAGTTGTTACGCACTCTGTTAACTCCGGAAGAACGAGAGAAGTGGAAAGCGGCAGTTAGGCAGTGTGTGAAAGAGATGTTGCCAAATGATGCGGATGTGCAGCCGGAGGTGTTGGTCCGGGCGCCCGAAATAGATCCGGGCTGGGACCCTAAGGAGGAACAGGACCGGACACGTTTGAGGGAATATCAGAATTTGGTGGTGCAAAGTCTTAGAAGAGCAGGGAAGCCCCCAGTAAATATGTCCAAGCCATCTCTAGTGATGCAGGGTGCGGATGAAAGCCCGGAGAGTTTCCTGCAAAGATTGATTGAAGCGTATGAGTTATATACACAGGTGGATCCAAGGCAGGGGGATAATGTGCGGATGTTGAATGAAAGGTTTATAGCTCAAAGTTATGAGGATATACGGCGAAAATTGCAGCGGGTAGAAGGAGCACTAGGGAAGAACATGACGGAATTGTTGGAATTGGCACGGAAGGTGTATGTCAATAGGGATAAGGTGGAAAAGAAGGAGAGAGATGCCAGAATGCAAAAGAAGGCTGAGTTATTGGCAGTAGTACTACAGGGAGGAATGAGTTTCGACCCCAACCCGGGGACACCCCTGGGTCCTAACCAATGTGCCTATTGTAAAGGAGAAGGCCATTGGCAAAGAGAATGCCCCAGACGGATGATGAGAGCTAGAGGGATGATGAGAAGACCTGAATTTGGAGCAGGGATGAGGGGGCAGTTTGCAGGGAGAAGGGGAGAACGAGGAATGAGAGGGGGCTTGAATAGAGGATTTGGACAAAGAGGCTTGGGACGAGGCTTTGGTAGAGGAGCTAGAGGGGGTGCCGGACCAAGAGAAGCAGAGAGTATTGGATTGGCAGACATGGTGTGGTCAGATTGACGGGGACCAGGCTTGGAAGAACCCCCGCCTGAGCCGTTGGTTACAATGAGGATAGGGGGCCAGCAGACAACGTTTTTAGTGGATACAGGAGCAGGTAGATCAGTTGTAAATAAGCAAATTGCAGCCCCTGGATCACGTAAAATCCAGGTTCAGGGGGTATCAGGACAGATTATGGGACGGCAGGTCCTAAAGCCTGTGATGTGTGATTTTAAAGGAGCTGAAATCCAACATGAATTTTTGTATATCCCTGAGTGCCCTATTCCATTGCTAGGCAGGGATCTGCTGAGCAAATTAGGGGCAACAATTTCTTTTGATGAAGGCAGTCAGAAAATGACCATAAGACATTCTCCGGAGGAAATTTGGAGGTTGATGATAGAGAGACAGGTCGGTGAGAAGGAAAAGGAGGAAAAGTGGAGGATGTTTGATGTGCCGGGTTTGTGGGCAGAGGACAATCCACCAGGTTTTGCAGCACACCACCCTCCAGTGGTGGTTGAGCTAAAACCGGGAGCAATGCCAGTAAGAATAAGGCAACGTCCCGTCTCATGGGAAGCGATCTATGCTATCTATGAGAGTATACAGAAATATTTGGAAGCGGGTGTTTTGGTGCCTACTCAATCCCCATGGAATACCCCAATTATCCTGATTAAAAAGGCAGACGGGTCTTTTCGCCCGGCCCAGGATTTGAGATTTGTGAATAGCCGAACAGTTACCTTACACCCGGCCGTGTCTAATCCATATACTTTGTTAAATTTAATCCCACCCCAGGCGGGGTGGTTTTCTGTAGTTGATTTGAAGGATGCCTTCTTTACAATTCCTATTCATCCATCAAGCCAGCCGCTGTTCCCCTTTGAGTGGGAGAACCCTCATACGGGCACAAAAATGCAATATACATGGACTAGGTTGCCACAGGAGTTTAAAAATTCCCCGACATTGTTTGGAACAGCGCTGGCTAGGGACCTGCAGTATTACATGCCTCAGCAACCGGGGGACACAATTTTACAATATGTTGATGATGTTTTAGTGACAGGACAGACAGAGGATTTATGCTGGAATAATACTAAAATGTTGTTAGACTTGCTACTCGAGTGTGGGTATCGGGTATCAAGGAAGAAAGCTCAACTGGTGAGAGAGAGGGTGAGGTATCTGGGTTATGATACTGAGAAAGGACACAGGGCTTTAGGACCGGAGCGGAAACAGGCAGTTTTGATGCTGGCCGAACCTAGAACAAAGAGACAACTGAGAAGCTTTTTAGGGTTGGCTGGCTTTTGTCGTATTTGGATCCCCAACTTTGCTTTGATGGCAGCACCCTTGTATGCAGCCACCAGGGGCGCCAATACAGAACCCCTTGAGTGGGGGGGAGAACAGAAAAAAGCCTTTAAAGATATAAAACTTGCGCTGACTTAGGCGCCGGCGTTAGCCTTACCGAATTTGCAGAAGCCTTTTAATTTGTATGTAGACACAAGTAGAAATATTGCAGTGGGGGTGCTTATTCAACCGTTGGGAAGTTGGCAACAACCAGTAGCATACTTATCAAAACAGCTGGATGGAGTGGCACGAGGCTGGCCGCATTGTTTGAAAGTGTTGGCTGCAATTGCAGAATTAATTCAGGATTGTAATAAACTTACTTTTTCCTGTCCAATAAATGTGCACTCTCCCCATGCGGTACAGTCCGTCTTGGATGCTAAAGGACATTTATGGATTAGTGGGCAGAGATTGGCAAAATATCAGGCAATCATGATTGAGAACCCCCAGGGGCGTTTGGTAATGTCCAATAGGTTGAATCCGGCTACGTTATTGCCAACGGAAGTGGATACCCAACACAATTGCTTACAAGTATTAGATAAAGTTTATTCCACCCGCCCTGATTTAACGGACATCCCGTTACCCAATGCACAGTTCAATTGGTACACGGACGGATCCAGTTACATTGTAGATGGGTATCAGGTGTCTGGATATGCCATTGTAGATGATGAAGGAGTGGTGGAAAGCAGACCTTTAGGAAGTGGACATAGTGCACAGGTGGCTGAGTTGTGGGCATTGATACGTGCCTTAGAAAGGGCCAAGGGAGAAACATTGAATGTGTGGACCGATAGTAAATATGCATTCCTTACTTTACATGCACATGGGGCTGTTTATAAGGAACGAGGGTTTAGAGATTCAGCAGGGGAAAGTATTTTGCATGGACATCTTATTAGCCGCCTGATTGAAGCTGTAAATAAACCAAAGAAAGTAGCAGTGATGCATTGTAAAGGACATCAAAGAGGAGATGATAAGGTAGCTATAGGGAATAGAGCAGCGGATGTGGAAGCAAGGGAAGCGGCGAAGCAAGAGGGGCCTTTGCCCGACTTATCTGTCTGTGTAGCAATGGATTTAGGGGTTATTCCCCCTGAAATTAAACCAACATATACGCAACAGGAAAGTGTGAAAGCAGTGACAGATTTAAAAGCTCAGGTTGAAGATGGGTGGTATGTATTACCAGACAGGAGGATTTTCGTACCAGCCTCAATGGCATGGACACTAGTACGCCTAGCCCATGAAACAACACACATGGGAAAGACGGCTTTAGAATTGGCATTAGGAAGAGATTATTACATCAATGGGCTGGCCGGAGTCGCTGCTGGAACTGTTGCAAAGTGTGTTACATGTGCTAAGGTTAACCCAAGACAAGGGCCCTTACTGCCCCCTGGTGCCATACCCCGGTCATACATCCCCATGGATTATATTATGATAGACTTTACTGATATGCCTAGATGTGGATTGTTCAGAGCTCTATTAGTTATGGTGGATATGTATACAGGGTGGCCTGAGGCTTTTCCAACAAAGACCAAACAGGCACGGGAAGTGGCAAGACTATTATTGAAAGAGATAATTCCCAGATTTGGAATTCCTAGTCATATCTCTTCGGATAATGGTCCCGAGTTTGTCCATCATATTAACCAGGCAGTTGCAAAGGCGGTAGGAATCAAGTGGCGGTTTCACAGTTCTTTTCGGCCAGAAGCAGGTAGATGTGTGGAACGCATGAACAGGACTCTGAAGGAAAGGATTACTAAGATTTGTACAGATAGTCATTTAAAATGGCCAGATGCTCTACCACTAGCCTTGTATGCCATTCGAAGCTCACCAAGGGGCCAGCACAAGTTATCGCCATATGAGTTAATGTATGGACGACCGCCAGGGTTGTTAAGGAGAAACTTGGCAGGGTGGCCAGATTTGGGGCATAAAGGAATATGGAAATGGTACAAGAACTTAATAAGCAAGTCGAGAGGCTTCAGCGATACGTGATGGAACAAGTGCCCCCCCGGTTAATAACCCATTGTCATCCGTTTAAACCAGGGGATCAAGTGTGGGTCAAACATTGGAAGAAAGAGCCACTGGAAGGACGGTGGAAGGGACCTTTTACTGTTATTATGACTTCTCCCCTTGCTATTAAGATTGCAGAATCAAAGTCATGGATCCATTGGACACGAGTCAAGGCGGCAGCAGAAACTGGCTGGAAAGTGGTCGTGGATAAACAAAACCCTACTAAGCTTACATTCAAGCGTGCTCAAAAATAGTTTTTTTTTTCTATTTTATATAGGATACTTGGAGGTGTGGTCGATTGTGGGGATCCTCAACGGATCATAAGAGTGAACTACATACCCGGGTTGTCGTATTCTTTTGGAAACTGATTAACGACAAGTGACTGAAGAACAAAGGATCCATGTGGGAGGAGAATTGGATGTGGGTGTGTTGGGGATTGGGGATATTGGTTCTGTCGATTATTGTGTTTTACAGGTATAAACAGTGGTTTTGTGGATGACCAAGGAACATCACGGCACCAGCTACTCCAATTCCTAACTGCCCGGATCTGCTCCTGAACACCCACTCAGTATAAACTGTTTAGTTATTAAAGAAATCTTGATTGTAATAAGCAAAGGGGCGATTTCTGAATGTATTAAGATTTTTTTCCCCAATGTGTTGGTTCTGCAATTGTGGATGTGAGTGCTGTTGTTGCGCTCATTGTATAGACTGTGTTTTATGTACAGGGTGTTTGCTTGAGTGTGACATAAAGATCATAGAAGAAGTACTAGAACACTATTTGGTGATAGGGTTAAAGACATCTTATTATACACTTAAGGTTACCCCCACCGTTGAGAGAGCATTGAGGGATCAGAACAAAAAGGACCGGGAGGATGCAGAATATGGTAATCATTGGACTGGGATTATGGATGAGCGGATGGGTAATGAGACTACGAAGTGAACTAGACATTCCCATGACAGAAGCGGTGAGTGAGGAGAACTGTGACCCATGCATACGCACAACATTGCAGGGAACACGGGTTTCTAAAACTTTGATCTATCACACTCAGAAGCCTGACGGGTGTGGGGAGTATAAACCCCAAACCTGTCAGGTAAATAATACCATATATCACATGTGTATGTTGAATGATAAGGTACAATGTTACAACCCTGCAGAAGCTAAGCAAATCACTACTTATGAGATGTCAATATACACAACAGATTGTGGGAGAGAAGAACTTTTAAATAAGACGGAGTTTAGACATTTAGGAAAGCCAGTAGAGATAACATTTGATGCCTGTTTAGCTATCAATCGTAACTGTGATGTGTGGAAGTCAACATGTGGGACATTTGAATGGGAAAGAAGTGATATGTTGGACAAAAAGTATATGTGCTGAAAGCATGGAGAATGTAGTGATTGGGACACATACAGTTATTGTCCATACTGGGCTTGTGCAGTTATGTGGACGGGAGATCAGCCAGGGGGCTCTCAAAGATGTAAGCTGGAAAACGGGGTAGCTAGTAGTAACTGTCAACGAAACCAATGTAACCCTATAAAGATTACATGTACCCCGACAAAATTATGGAAGGAGGACTATGGATTAGGGATCTATGCGAAGGGAAAGGATCTTCTTGTAACCCTTCGATGGTATGTCACTAAAGTTACCAGAGCGACACAGGATACGAAAGGATTGTTCTGGTCATATTATTTGGAAATGGAGAAGTTGAATGTACCTGAAATTCCTAGTCATGTAACAAATACCTTTGTCAAATTAGCCGAAGACATAGCCCATACCCTGAATGTATCAAATTGTTTTGTTTGTGGAGGAACTAACATGGGAGAAAAATGGCCATGGGAAGCCCAGGAATTAAATTATTCCAAAGTCTTAGAAATGGATTATAAGGGTAATCTGTCATATAATAAGGGTAAGGATGGAGACTGGACCTTGACTACTAGTTTGGTAGGGAATGTTTGTTTTCAGAGAAAAATTGTGCCAGGCTGTTATCAGGTGGGAAACCTCATATGTACAGGAAAATGGGAAAGTAAGGTATGGTGGTCAGGAGCAAATGCCACAGAGGGACCTGATGAAATGGCCTTGTTTAAAGTAAACGGGTTATCCTTTTTAAAGGATCCAGATAATCAGACCCTTGAATGGCTGGCTCCTGATGGGCTATACTGGATATGTGGTAAGATGGCATACGGGGTCCTACCTAAATCCTGGTGTGGAGCCTGTGTCTTGGGATTAATTAGACCTGGATTCTTTTTGCTTCCCCTTAAAACCCGACAGGTGTTAGATGTCCCGGTATATGATGAGGTGGGAAACTTAAGACAAAGAAGGCATGTAGATACATCGGCAATAGGAAAAGTTAGGGTTGGAGGTAACCAGCGTAGTTGGGGGAGTGAAGAATGGCCTGCAGAGCGAATTATTGAGGTTTATGGACCGGCTACATGGGCGGAAGATGGCATGTATGGCTATCGGACCCCTATATACATTCTGAACCGTTTAATTCGTCTGCAAGCGGTGGTTGAAATCATTACCAATGAAACTGTAAAAGGTCTTACTCAATTAGCTAGGGAAAGTGTCAAATCAAGGACATATATTATGCAGAATAGATTAGCTTTAGATTATTTGTTAGCTAAGGAAGGAGGGGTATGTGGAAAGTTTAATTTGACTAACTGCTGTATAGAAGTTGATGAAAGCGGAAAAGTTATTAAGGAAATAACAGACAAAATGGTTAAAATAGCTCATGTGCCAGTCCAGACGTGGAAAGGCCTTAATTTACAGGATATGTTTTCAGGATGGTGGCCAAAGTTACCTGGCCTGCAGGCCATTTTTGGCCTGGTAGGATTAATAGCTGCAGGGTGTATTTTTCTCCCATGTATTTTACCTCTGTTTGTTAAAACTATCTCTAAAAGTCTATCCTTGCTGGTGGAACGTAAGACTACTGCTCAGGTGATGGCTATGTGGGATTATAAAAGGCTCCAGCAGGAAGAGGACTTAGAGGTGTGACTCGTCTGGTTATCTCAGATGAGTCACAAAGGGGGGGTATGAGCCAGGCTAAGATTCGATATTGGGATAAAACTCAAATATTAGAAATCCAAATCTTTGGTCAAGGCAGAAGTGCCTCTTCCGTGCCAAGGTGCTGAATTGACAAACGGTATTTGACGTAGGTACAGCATTGTAAAAGGGCAAACTGACCCTAAACAGATATATCCTGTTGTTTAAATGTTTATTACACCCCAAATGTCATGTAGATTTTAGAGAAGAAATACTGCTTCCCTTACTGTCCTCTTTACTGCTCTTGAGGCGCCTTTGAGCCCCTTTATCTCCTCTTTTATTATGTCTTGAGCTCCGGAGCTGAGAATCTGAGCCTGTGGGAACCAGGCTGTTATGTCTTTCCTAGAGATAGATTAAAGGGTAACTTCTACGTGTGAAATGTTGCACTCTTCGTAATAACTTTGTCTTTATACTGTATAAATATCTGGTTGAAATCAGCCATCAATGTTCAGACTTTTCGCTGTCTTTGGACTGTTTGAACCTTGCGCAAATAAACTATTTCCTGCACTGAAGAGCTTGTTCTAGTCCGTCATTTTTCCTGTAACAGGCTGATGAAATGCACGGAAGCCTGATGGGCATATATCCACGAGGGGAACTCCCCCCTCCTGGCCCAACCAGGTCTCCGTAATGCCCGCTAGGTCCACCTCCCCCTCCTGAATAAGATCGTGAATGAGGGGGGCTTTATTAACAACGGACCTGGCATTGCATAACATCAGCCGGAGGCTCTGGCCCTGAGAATCTGGACAGCCTGGGGAACGAGAAAAGCATTGGGGACCGGAGTGTGCAATCGCTCTAAGATAGCGAGTGCGCATTCCCCGAACATGATGTGGTCCCCAGCTTCCGCCATATCTGCCCCTCCCACTCACTATACTGATGGAACAGCCCTCTTCAAATCGAACTCCAACCCCCTCCCCGACCTCCGGTTCTACGTCCCTAATGTCGCAGCCCTTCGCTAAGGCTGGTCTTGAACCCAGTGGATTTCCCCCAGAACCCACCCTAATCCCCCCCGAACCCCTTAAAATTTTTGTTAAAAACCCACTAAAAAACCCACTTAAAAAACCCCTCAAACTCTTCTTTGCCGCATGCCATCTCTCCGGGCTCCAACGCCCGTCATCAAGATAGGCCCTCGATAACGAAGAGGGCCAAACCTGCGAGAGGGGGGAATCTCGCAGGGCACAAAGGTCATTCACCGAGTACATCTGGACATCAAGGGGAGGTGATAATCCATGGCCAATAGCCAGGGGACAATTTGATGTTATCACAGTCAAGAGGAGTGAATGCCAGGCTTCAATAGAATTCCAATGGGACACATAGGACCTCATTGCCCTCTCACGGCAATGGCAGGAGTAAGAATGCTGTTTCGGACCAGTAAAGGGTGACCCAGCCCCCCTCTCACGGCGGCTGGTCAACCACGATCGTCCAAGGAACCGGAGTTGAGACAGCAGCTGTAGACCCACTCCACCAAGACTTGAATCCCCAGATGTAAACCTCCATTCAATGGAGGGAAAGAATGGGATCAGGTCAGTCCACATAGTCCAGGGCAGGCTCAACGGTGGAGATCATAACAGTCAAAAAAACTCCAGGGAGGTCAAGATGACACCTAGTCCAGGAGATGATGGGAGGGAAAAGAGGAGAGCCAAGGCAACAAACGCCAGAGGGGGGAAAAACCCTCAGTCATGGTCCAGCTCTCCCCCATCCCTCCAGATCTTCCTTATAATCATGCTGCTCGTCTCGCCCAGCCTTCATAGATCAACATGAAGGCCTCTGGGACGACCAAGGGCCAAACAACGCCCCACGATCACCCAGGAGATCTAACGCCACGAGTAAGCAGCTGCCACCATCTCCAACACTCCCACACACCAAACTGCGATGGCTCCTTCCCTGAGCCGGCGGCCACCATTTCCACGCCGCCAGCATCGCTGCCGCCACCGTTGCCAGCCTCCCCGTCCTCACCTCGCCCCCCTCACCGCCCTAGCACATGTCCAGGAGGCAGATTGGGCTGGCGAGGATCCCGACGAGGGTGCCGCATCACCGCCATCGCCGCGGCGCTGACGCCGTCTTCCTGGCTCTGCCGCCTTCGCCATGGGAGGTCTGCCGCCGCCCCCTCCTCCTTCGGGCCGCTCTCACCGTCCTGTGGTCTCCACAAGCCGTGAGCCTCCGTGAGCCTCCGCGAGCCTCCAGGACGTTCTAAGAAGCCGGAGACCCCTCAGCAGAGAGCCTCAACACTCCTCCAGCTGGGCCAGGGCTGCAGCGATCGAAATTCAGCCCTTCAAAGGCCCCCTGAAGCCATAATCACCCCCCCGAAACACCGGAGTCACAGGGAAGTCGCCATCTTGCGCATGCGCATGTCCTATGGAAGAGAAAGGTAGCAAGTGTGCAATTTGTGTTCTCTAATAATAAAAAAGCATTTAAAATAACATTTGCAGTATTTTAAAATAATTTCTGATGCCAGAATTATGATAAATAATTTGTAATAATCACTACTTATGCCCCATCACGTGAGGATTTCAAGAAAAGATTGGACAGCCATTTGTCTGAAATGGCATAGATTCTCCTGCTTGAGCAGGAGGTTGGACTAGAAGACCTCCAAAGTTCCTTCCAACTCTGTTATTCCATGTTGTTCCATGTTGTTCTTTACTTTCTAAAATGAAGTAATGGGAACAATATGAATACTTCTCATTTTTTAAATATATAATTCAATTATACTATTAAATTGTTTGTCTCCATTTTAGGGAGAGCATAGCGGCTGTTGCTTGGGCAAATTCTCTACCATTGTTTGTGTAAAGCATAGCCTGTGTAATAGGATATTGTTTAATGCTTTTATCCTACCTTTTAACATTAAACAAATTCAATCATTATTTTGCTTGTAGAAGAGTCTTGTAACCCCCTCTCCCCCCTGAGAGTAACCAATTAAAGATTATGATAAACCACAATAATTCCTAAAAGCAGATCAGCAGGAAGTTTGCCCTGTACCGGTAATCCTCTACTTATGATCCCAATTGGGCCCAAGATTTCTGTTGCTAAGCAAGACAATTGGGAAGGGAATTTTGCCCCCGTTTCATAATCTTTCTTGCCACAGTTGTTAAGTGAATCACTGCAGTTTTTAAGTTAATAATACAGTTGTTAAGTGAATCTGGTTTCTCCAATGCCTTTGCTTATCAGAAGGTCGCAAAAGGTGATTACATGACCCTGGGACACTGTAACTGTCATAAATAAGTGCCAGTTGTCAAACATATGAATTTTGATTATATGGGGATGTTGCAATGGTTGTTAAGTGTGAAAACCAGCCATAACCCACTGTTTTCAGTGCTATTGTAACTTCATATGGGCACTAAACAAATGGTTGTAAGTTGAGGACTACCTATAATGAAGTATCAGATTCTTCTGACACTTGGCTGCTAAAAAAGGGAAAGGATACTGGGATCCTGAACACCAGGCAGAGCAAAACAGCAGTTTTGCTTTGCAGGGCTGAAATTCTGAATCACCAGTATGAAAGCAAAGTCTGGCTTTCATGGTAGCAAAGTATGCAGTATTTCTCAGCAGGGACACAGGAGAGTCAGCATAGGAGTCCAGCTGTTTATTTCGGACATGCCTGGAAATTAAGCTGGCCTACTAAATCCTTCCCCCAATTTCAGTCCTCCCTTCACTTTGGCCACAATATTTAATCTGAGTGGCAGTTCACACAGTCCTTAACTGGTGGGTTCCCTCCCCTTTTCCTCCCTACTTGTAATACTAGAACAACAGATCCCCTTGTTCTTTCTTCTACCATTTGCCAATCCAGAGTATCCAAAGAAATTTCAGTGCTGTCTGTCACTTTATCTTCCTGTACAAAAAGCTTAATTGTAATTCTCATTATCTGAGCTTTGGTATATAGGCAAGAGTTATTGTTCTTATGAGTCAGTGTTAATTCTGATTTTTGTTGATATTTGTTGATTTAATAATCATATTACATTAGCAGTTTTACTGTGCTATGTCAGTAGAATCATCCTCTTGGTGACTGTTTATTGTTTCATTTCTAGGTGAAGAGAAGCTATACTTTTTACATATCAGCTGTATGAGAACAAAAATAATTAACAGTTCACTCATTCATATGCTGTTCATAGCTATCACAGAGGCATCTGTATCATCCAGTAGACAATGAGCCAGTGGAACTTTTGTTTTGTTGACCGATGGTAAATAAAGAAAACAGAGTGATTTAATTGCAGTCACATTTATTTAAAGTTTCTATACACATTTCCTAGATAATCAGACCTTTTTCTGACACATTTTAGAGGGGATTCACACTGAAACTGTCACTGTTTTACTAAAAATAAATACAAGACTTAAAGTGTTGCACAGTTCTAAAATATACAAACTGGCTTGGTTTTAATGTAAACTTTGAAAACATTTTACAAAAAGAAACAATTTAAAAAGTTCTATTTACAAATATTACAAAAATACAAAATGGATGCAAGTCCATAAACCGTTGTCTTTTCTGCCAGCATGAACTGGTGCTAGTACCAAAATAGTTACACTGTAACCTCCTTTATTAGTTTTTAAACTTTTAAGTCATAACCTAGATATTTCTTTAAATCTGCCACAATTGCAGCAAATGCACTCTTATCAGCATGACCTTTGGCAAATGCACACATATGCTTTATTTCTACAATTAATCAATACTCTATGCTGCCAAAATATTACAAAAGAAAATGTTACCAAATGAACAAGTGCCTAACTTCAAAACTTACTCTGAAACATCAGTGCAAACAACAGAATCACAAGTTATCATTATGATTCATAAATTAGAAATGTTTCTAGGTTTATTCTCTGTTTCAAGATGAGATGTTAAGCTTTGTTTCTTTGGAGGGTTCTGAAGACATCCTACTTGTGCAGCACAACCTTATAAACATTTACATAAATCTCACTGTATTCAGTGAAGCTTATTCCTAGGTAATTGTGGTCTCTGATAATTTTTATCAGAACACTCTATCAGCAGAAGTTGCTCACATTGTTATCACATAATATCACTTTGTTAATGGATATTAATATTCTATATGGTAAATTTTGCTTCTGCCTGATTTGACAGGAAGCATCAGAACTTCAGATGCCTGTAACAGAGTGCTCAATCTGAGTTAGCAAATAATAACAAAAATAGTTTTTTAAAGTAGATTTATAATCCATCATAACTTGGGCTTTATTGTTATAAATAGAAAATAGAAATGCTTTGTTACGGATTTTTTTTGTAAACAAAGTAAGAGGTTGTGATAGTTTTGTGAGCATCACATAGAATTATTTATCTGCCTTCTCATTCAAATTCTGTGCTTCAGCGGAATAAATCTGTAATGTTTATATGGAATCTGATACAGGGGTCCCCAAACACCAGGGCGCAGCCCACTACTACCATGTGTGCCCGCCGCTCGCACAAATGGACTGCGTGTGCATGTGGGCTTGCTGGCCACTCACACAGAACCATGCCTGCCCCCCTCCCCCCCGCTGCTCTACAAGGCTGAAAAGGTTGGGGAACTCTGGTTTGATATACCAATAACTGCATAAATTGCCTGGATGACACTTATAGGTCTTGTATTTTGAACAAACCAATTCAACTTTTAATATACCTTATGTAGCATTTTTATTGAACAGATTTAGCATTCTGGTCCTAAATGAGAATAGTACTGAATTTGACTATAACATCAAAGCATTGTAATTGATGATCTCTCACTTTAGCATTAAGAGACATAATCAACCTTCAAATCAAATAGTAAAATAGCTCTTGTAATCTTAGGGAAAGTGATCTTAAACAGCACTTAGACCTTGCATACCAATTGTGTGACTTTTTAAAAAAAGTGACATTAATCTTTCTCTCCCTCCAACACATTCTCTTTCACTTCCTTTTTGACAACCTAGTACTTATTGTAAGTATTTTCATTGCTTACTATGAGCATTGTAAGAAATAATCCTCCCCTGATTTTCACTTTTCCTAGATTCCTACAAGAATTTACATCTGTTTGAAGCCATCTTCCCCATTTTTCTCTACCAGTGACTACCTACTTAAATCAGTTACTGGGCTTAAACTAAACTTGACAATACATTTCATCTCAAAATAGTTTCAAACCTTTCTTCCTAAATTCTGCTTTCATTAGTTAGTTACAATTACTGCACATTAATATCATTTGTTTGTTATATTTCTACCATGCCTTTCATTTAGGAGCTCAAGGCATTGTACTCAATATTTTCAGAGAGTTGGACTGAAAGAAACTGATCAGCCCAAAGTCAACAATTGAGCTACCATAACCAGAGGATACTTAGAAATTTGGTCTCCCTGGTCCTAAATACTGCGTGTTTTTATCAATCATTTTATCACTTTTTCCTTTTCAAAGGAAAAAATAGTTAATTTTGAATATATGCAATAATTTGCTCAATTTTAAAGTTAATGTTCTCATACTTATTGTGAGCATTGTAAGAAATAATCCTCCCCTGATTTTTACTTTTCCTAGATTCCTACAAGAATTTATGTCTGTTTGAAGCCACCTTCCCCAGGAGCTACATTTCTCTACTAGTGACTACTTACTTAAATCAGTTACTGGACTTAGTCAGAGCTTGAGGATACATTTCATCCCGAAATAGTTTCAAAATCTTTCTTCCTAAATTCTGCTTTAATTAGTTCTCCAGTTTGATACACTGCATTTTACAACCCGATTCAAATCATTCAATTTAGAGCAGGTTACACATGGCAAACTATTGTGTTATATCTTGGGAAAAGATTATATCTGAGATGACTTTTAAAAATCCCTACTGTAGTTTGATCCATCAGCATACTTTTGCTTTTGGTCTTCTAACAAAAAACTTCAAGCAACTTCAAGTAATCCTGCTTTCCCCTGCTTTCAGTTAGTCATAATATTTGCTCTGATTTCTTCTGCACCCCATCTATTATGGACTCCTTTCCTAGTATTGTAAACAATTTTAATAAAATCTAGATAGAATGTAATTGAGCAATATGAATCAGAGACTTTCCCCATTCCATGTTTATGAGATGTATAAAGAATGCATACATATGCCTAGTTCTTATTTTTTTCAGTGTCGTTTTTATAAATATTCAGGTAGGATGAATGTTGTCCATACAAAGCTTCATTGAATTATTATTGTACAGTTTATTCGTGAATCAATAGCATTTGTTGCATGCTTAATAGTTACTAAGCTATGAACATGAAATTAATTTTGTTTTATTTATCAGAGCATTGCTAGGTTTCCCAACAATCTAGTTGTAATAGTAGTATGAAACAACTATAATCACTGGCCATATTAAGTGCCAAATATCATAGAAAAAGCTGGATACCTAACATTTTTTCTTAAAAGGTTTTTTTTAAAATGTTATTTCTGCTGTCCTTTTTACATGTGTTTTTCATTCCAAACACCAATGCTAATAGTTATGGTGGCACTATAGCTCTCATACCTGTTCATTGGATATGGCTTCCCCTAAGAACTCTGGGAATTGTAGTTCTTTGTTAGAACTGAAACACTGAATTATTAAATCTACAAGATGATGGACAACGTGACAATTATGCCATTACCAAAGGAATTAAAAAGCAATATATTTTATTGTTTTTCAATAGCTTGCACATAAGAGAAATATTAATCACACTATTTAATCACCTTTGTAGCCTACACAACTTTCTTTTAAAGAGCTTTCCCATTTGATCCTCACAGCAAACCTATGAAACAGATAAAAATGATGGATACATTATCGATAGGTGGAGAACTAAAGGCAGAGCTCATGGTGGTCTGTAGTGGTCTATACAAGTAATGAGCCAAATCTACAGATAACCAGATCAAATTATTGTCTAGCTGTTATGGAATGAGCAATTTAAGGCAGTGTATAAATGTTACTGATGATTGACACAGTCCCAATTTAAAGAAAAACGTCTTGATTAAATTTCCAGCCCTATAGTAAAGTATTGCTAGCCTATAAAACACAACTCAGAAATCCAGAATTTTGGCATTCCTATGAGAGTAAAGGAGCAGTAAAGAAAGATCTTGATATAAATGGGATTTTGTTTTGTAATTTAAAAAAAATTAAATTATTTTTCCTGAGTTTGTAATAACTTAACAAATTTATTCTCTTCATGCAAATAAAATTTGTCATTACAAGCATATTGCAGTAGGCATGACTGCAGCTGGAATACTATGGATTATACTAGCTACTGTATGCAAAGAGTTATTATATGTACTGTACTATATGGTATAATATGACTGGGTAAGATTAAAAATCTAGTTTTTCTTTAATGTTTCTACTTCTGTAGTTTCTATGCAGTCTGCATGTTCAGTGCAATTCCTTGGTTATAACTACTCAAACATATTATTATTATTATTATTATTATTATTATTATTATTATTATTATTATTATTATTATCATCATCATCATCATCATCATCATCATCATCATCATCATCCTGCAGCAGTTGCAGAGAAGACCATCCAACAGAAATCTGAAAGCCAATTTAAGGATTTTCTTAGAGAACTGCAGATGTAGGTACTTTCACATATAAATAAATATATACCGCTTCACAGTCCTTTACAGCCCTCTTTAAGCAGTTTACAGAGTCAACATATTGCCCCCAAAATCTGGCTCCTCATTTTACTGATCTTGGAGGGATGGAAGGCTGAGTCAACCTTCCATCTCTGAGCTTGGTGAGATTCGAACTGCCAAATTGCAAGCAGTCAGCAGAAGTAGCCTGCAGTACTGAATTCTAACCACTGCACCACCACAGCTCTTAATAAGAGGAGATTTGATTTCCAGGTTAAAAAAACAGGAACAATAAATCGTTATCAATCTATTCACTGAGAAGGAAATGGAAGGCAAATTGTTTAATTGAATAAAAATGTTTGAACTTCAATAATATTTGCTAAATTGCAGTGTTGAAGACTGCTGCATAATAGTGCAATTCTTAATATATTTATTCAAATACAGCTAATTTTAGCAGGTTCATCAAATTTCAGGATACACTAACTAAAATGGAATAAATGGGATATGAGCATAGCCTAGGATTCAGTTACTCAAGGCTCAAATTTAAATTTTAAAAAACCTTTTAATTTAGTATTAAATTCTCAATCTCTGAGCCATCCCAAAATGTCACTTTAAAAGATTTTGTCTTAGAATAGTACCAGGTTTTATTAGTATCTCAGAGTTTCTCAGTATGTGTGTGCGCGCGTGCGCATTTGTATGTGTCTATCATGTATCTAATTAGTTTTTAAAATTCACTGTTCTATTTGGATTTTGATGATTAATGCTAGTTTCTTTCAATTGTAAGTTGACTTTTAAGGCAGATCTTTGCATATATTTTTCATATTTTGTATGTTGTTAACATACTATTGCTTAGTAAACCTCATTTTCCTCTATTTCATTTTTCTTCTATTGTTCTAATAACAAATGAATATTTGGCTGATTGTCTATTTTCCTTTATTTTAAAACTTCTCTTTCCCATTTTTTAAATCTACGGCTATTTATATGAGCTTTAGATTCCTTTTTTAGATTTTCTTTAATGTTTCTACTTTTGTAGTTTCTTTGCAGTCCTCATGTTCAGAGCAATACCTTGTTTATAAGTATTTAAGAAATAATATTTTTATTAGATCATCGTGCAGCAAATGCAGAGAAGACCATCCAACACAAATCTGAAAACCAACACAAAGATTTCCTAAGAGAACTGCAGTATGTAAAGAAGTGGAGGGTGACAAGGAAAGAAACTAAATAAAGAAATGAAAATGGCAACAAACTTTAAAGAACTTTAAAATTGTTTTAAATGACAAGTGAAGAAATCAGTCAAAAGTGACACAATTTTTGATATACCCAAAAAATTCCACATAGCTACACTTCTCAGAATTCTTAAGAGGGGGAAGCCAGAGCAGAAAACCTGGTTTATAAACATTGTAGTATTTGTCAACTAGCCTCTTTTCAAAGAATTCATTTTAAAATTAGCTTGCTTGGAATGACATTGTCAAAGAAATTCAGATATCACTTAATTTCATAGTTTTTATTAATAGGAATTCCACTAATCCAAGTGTTAAATTCATGATAGAGGCTTCAATTATTTAATAGTGGTAGTGATTGATATGTAAATAAACTTGATCTGAAAATTGTATTCACAGAATACAGTCATTACCATATCTTTATCCTTTGTTATCATATAAGATAGTTTTCATTTGTCACCCACCACATTTTTCTCTGCAATAATTTTATTTACATTTGCTTATCAAAAATACGTAAATTTACATTTGTTTTGTCTATTCTATTTTGTTTCAATTCATTTTAATGTAAAAAAATACTAATTCGTCACCAACTTTATGTTTGCTACCCCTAGGGAAGCACAACAGTAATGTTATGTTTCTGGAGAGAAAAAAGGAATCTAGAAAACTGGATAAATTTACACTGAGGGTGGAAAGGGGGGGGGGAGGAATTAAAGGTTAACCATATATTTCTAGTCATAGAAAATGGGTCGTAATAAATACCTACAGATCATTTAACCCCATCTTTCAGCACTCTTTAACATTTTCAAGCATCACATATTGCCTTGTAAGATATTTGACTGCTACAGAATAGGCTTTTTAAAGTGAAATGAGCTTATCAAATGCAGAGTTCCCCCATTTAACAGTCAGAATTGTGCTCAGACCCTTAGGCAACTTATGTTGAGCTTTGAGAAGATCGATCATCGTGTGGGCTCCCATCTGAATTCTCTGTCTCTCCTTCTGAAATGGCTTGCATTGGGGTGTTATATAATCTGCAGCGGACACTGTATCGGCTACTGCTTGCAGCTGGAGGTGCTCGTGATCGTCCTACACGTGAAGATGCTGATGTGGGAAAACTTTTGGAAGAAAACCCTTCTACGTTTATCCTCGGGGGACAAGGAGAGTGAGGAGCTAATGCCTCAGCTCTTGATGAGGCTTGGAAGGGTTCATCTGCAGTTTGAAGAGTATCCCCAATTAGTTCTCCAGGAGATTTGGGAGAAATAGGACTCTTTAGTATCTCAGTGGCTGACATTCTATAGCTAGAATCAGACCGACTACCTTTTTTCAAGAGCAGTAGTTTAAATTCCTCATTTGATGTACTGGACTTTTTGGCATTCCGATAAATAGGTCCAGGAGACCTCTGGCTGCATGCTGGACTTCCCACACTGGTCAGAGTGAGGGGAATATTAGTAACAGGTGAGGTGCTGCTGACAGAAGACACACTATTACTACTAGATGAAGCTTTCAGTCTGTTCCTTGAAGAAAGGTCTCCAGAATCCTTTCTTCCGAGCACTTTCCTTTTTGACCTGTTATGAAAAGAATTATATTCAATATTCATGGTACTGAAACATAAATATTCATACCTATGTGCATTTATCTAATTACACATAATAAAATTTGATATAATTATATGTTATATGTATATGGCATAGCATTTTGGGGTCCATTGCTTAGGTCCAGAAATTTAAATCAGATCTCATCATAGAACTCCCTTACTGCACTATTAATAACTACATAACTAAAAACCTAATTTATCATCCATGAAAATGAGGGCTCTACCTTCCAGATATTAGAATTGACAATATTGTCTAAATTGGAAAGCGAAATAAAAAAAATTGTAAAACTAAAAGACCAGGGCTGGTGAAATAGAATTTAGTTATATTGTGGCTTCCCTCCACCCTGATAATTTAGGAAATATTGCAAAGCAATAAAAAAAGCTTGGACCAAGACAAATCTGGTGCCAGTAATATATGATAGTTGTGATATGCAAATTATGATGACATATCTGGATCACTACAATTACAAGATTTTTTTAAAAAATGTCAGATCTATCAAGGTCACTATAGGGTTGCCCATGAAAGTCATCCTAACTGTGCCCAGGTAAAATGAGACAGGGCTTATACTGGTCAGCAGAGATATGGGAAGATGCTAGAAATGGCTGATTACTTTAGCAACAATGGTAAAAGCATCAATTCATACTGTGCAGGAGAAGGCAATGGTAAGTCACTTCTATATTTTACCAAGAAAATCACATGGATAGTTTCTATAAAGTGATTTGCATTATAGTGTCAGATGGTGGTCTGTCAGGCTAAATGGTACTGAACATGTTATACAGCATGAGCGAGGATCATTTGAAGTACTAAAAGTATTTATGGTGTGACTAGATTAAATCATTCTTGACATCTAACTGAAGCTGCTGAGGCTGCTATGAAGGAAAAGAATCCAAAACTGCAAAAATAAAATTACACTGGGAACATGGAATGTAGGGAATATGAACATGGGAAAGCTCAACACCCTGAGAGACAATGAGAGACAAATGAAGTAGCTACATATTGACATCTTAGACATTATCTAATAATAATGAACTGAAATTGGCCACTTTCAATCATACACTCTTACTATTTATTACATTATGAAAAAAAGAAAGAACAGTGTTGATTTAATCAGAAAAGCTTTATAAAACCCTACTAAGACCACACCTGGAATACTGGAACCAATTTTGGTCACCATATTACAAAAAAGATGCCAAGGCTTTGGAAAAAGTTCAGAGAAGAGCAACTAAGATGATCAAAGGCCTGGAGACTAAAACATATGAAGAATGACTGCAGGATTTGGATTTGGCTGTTTAAAGAAAAGAAGAATTAGGGGTGACATGATAGCAGTATTCTAGTATTTCAGGGGCTGCCACAAAAAAGAGGGGGTCAAATTATTCTACAAAGCACTAGAGGGAAGGACAAGAAACAATAGTTGGAAACTAACCAAAGAGAGAAGCAACCTGGAATTAAGGAGAAACTTCTTAAAAACGAGGATAATTAACCAGTGTTAACAGCTTGCCTTCAGAAATCGTGGATGCTCCATTACTGGAGGTTTTTAAGAAGATACTAGACAATCATCTAAAATAGTATAAGTTCTCCTGCTTGAGTAGGGGGCTGAAGACCTCCAAGGTCCCTTCCAGCTCTATTCTATTCTACAAATATGGCAAAGACAATATTTGCATGCAATAGTGTCAATGATTGGCCCTTTTCCGGTTGACATTGCAGCGAGAATGGTTTGGAAAATAGTGGGCTCTGATGAGCTCTGCGAAATGTAGCTGACAACTGCTGTCGGGAGACCCTACAGGGTCCAAGCTGCCTTGTAGGGGTGGCAAAGAAAGGAGAGGCACTTCATGGACCACAAGGAACTTGCAATTTCCTCATTAGGTCCGAAGCAAGCTCTCCTGAGTGGCAGCAGGGACGATGGCCATTTTTGGCTAGTCACAAGCTGGGACAACCGGGACCAGAAGAGTTGTGCTGGAGCAGTCCATGGACAGAGCATTGAAGCTGGGTGAGATAACTTCCAACCCTTACTTTAAAGACTTAAGTACAAGAATTTCAAAAAATACTCCAAGCATTAAGGAAGTGGTGATTAGACACACGGAGAAGATTAAAGACTGAAAATTAACAGGCGAAAGAAATGCCCAAAGAAAGTTTTAAAATATAGAAAGCTGGAAAAAAAGCTTAAACAATCTGAAAGATGATTTTTGGGAGAAACCTTTCTTATTTGTATCTTTAAACCCCCTGGATTTATCAGAGAATCAGCTGTTTTTGACATACTGTTTAAGTATGGAATTGGGATTGGGAATAGGAGAGCCATCTACTGGAAGAAGAGGAGCATTACAGTGGGAGAATTTTCAATGAAAATGTATTATGTTTAATACACATAACAGAAGAAAGTAATTAGCACTTGGAAGGCGGCCTGACCTTGATCCTATTTTAGAAGATGATTTGGATATTTTGAAATACTCAGTGAGCTTCTTTTCTTTTTTGAAGATTTTTTAAATGAACTAAATTGCAAATTTAAATTGCAAATAATTAAACTCTATTGAAACCGGTTATTGGATTGTGGATTTGAAAGATAGGAGGAAACCTAGTGGATTAACTTGGACTTGCAGGATTATTAATGCCTTTTGATAGAACATTCTATGAGGCAAAAGAAGAAAGGTGATAGAACAAAAGAGAAAAGAAGAAAAGTTAAATAAGACTTTAAAATCTGGACAATTGGGAAGATAAATAATTGGAAAATCAAAAGGCTGTAAAATATTAAAGAACTTTAAAGATGATAAATTTAGGGGACTTGGAAGTATAACTATGGGATTGACTAAATCTTATTAATAATTGGCTCTATTGGAGTTTTTAAACACTAAGACATTGGAACCATTGAGTCATTTTTATCAAATTATTATAAAATGGACCATGAGGAGATAAAAGAGGGATATGAAGACATAATTTTGATGCTCAAAAGCATGCATAAAACTATAAAGAACAATAAGGAGACAAGGTGATTGTCTAAAGATAAAGAAATAAGTATAGATGCTTCTCAACAACTGGGGGAAAAGATGAATATGATATTCAGAAAACAGATGAGAAATTAGAAGAGGCAGTGGAAGATTAAAAATCAAAATGAGAGGCAAGAAGACAAAGATAATGAAGAGAAAGGATTGATAAGTAGGAATCAAATAGACAATTCCTTAAAAGTTTATAATAGAACAGAGGAAAAAAAGGGAAATCTCTTCACAAAAAAAAAGAAAGAAAGAAAGGTTTAGAGAAAAAAAGAAAAATATCTTCAAAAAAAGAGAATGATTTATGGATGGGTACTCAAATGATACAGCAGAAAGAGATAAAGGGCAATCCAAAGGGAATACTCAGTGGGTATAAAAATATCAAAAAAGTTATAAGATTCCAAAAGAGAGGAATAAATGACGGAACTCCAAAAAGATTAAGAGGTGAGGGATAGTGATAAAATATATTAATAAAATGAAAAAGTAGAAAATACAAATAGGGAAAATGGTAGTATATATACTAATAGATAATAGAATTCATTATAATTAAAAATAAGCTAAGGTTAGAAGATGGAAGTTTATAATATTAACAGTGTGTTAAAATATATTGTGAATTCAAACTTTTAAGGATTAGAAATTGTGCGGATTTTAAGATATAATCCTAGGATTGATTAATTTTTAAAAAATATTTGGCCTTATTAGTAGTCCTAGACATTTGGGATATTGAAATTATGGCGGAATAATGAGTAATTTTTAAATATTAAATTTTAATGACTTAGTAGGGGATAACAAATAAATGGTGCAAATAAATGTTATTTAGGTTTAAACGTATTAATGGAAAAAACAATAAAGAATTATAAAGAGAGAATGGTATTGGTGAAGTTGGAAGATTAGAATTATGTATACTTATTTGTATTATTATTGTTAACATTGTTTAAAAAGGACATTGACCAGGGGTGAAATGCTCCCGGTTCGGACTGGCTTGGGTGAGTAGGTAGCGATGGTGGCGGGCAGTTCAGAGAACCGGTAGCAAAAATCCCTGCCCCCGCCCCCCATGCCCAGCTGACCCGCGCGATCATCAGAGCCTTTTTTTTCTTTTAAATGGTTCTGACGAGCCAAGCTCTGACAATCCCAGCTGAGTTGCCTGGTAATCAGGCAACTCAGCTTGGATCGCCAGAGCCATGTAAAAGAAAAAAAGTTTTTTCTTTTTAAATGGCTCTGACGATCCAAGCTCTGACGACCCCAGCTGAGTTGCCTGCTAATTGGTAGCAAAAACCCCTCCCCCTCCCCCCTCAGCTTGCTTACTTTAGCTGCTGGTGGCAACGCCTTTCTGTAATCCCTGCAATCCATTGCATCAGCAAGCAACCAATGAATCTCTCTGCCTGCAATCAAGCAGGCAGGGAGTTGTGGACTTCAACTCCCAAAATTCCTCAGCCAGCAAAGCAAAGCTGGCTGAGGAATTCTGGGAGTTGAAGTCTACAAGTCTTAAAGTTGCCAAGGTTGGAGACCCCTGTTCTATTGGGTAAGTCTTTTCCTCCTTTGGGAGCTTTAAAAAAATAGTTAATTGGGGTTTTTTTTAGTTGTTCTTTTTTTAGACCTAGCCATTTAAAGTTTAGGAAGTTTTAAATTTAGCTGCTTTTATATAAAAATAAAAATAAAATAAAATAAAATAATATTTGTGCAGCTTTCTGAGATTTAGTGTGTTTCTGTAGTGTTTCACTCTAACTACACAAACACACAAAATCTCACAAAGCTGTATGTGGAATTTTGTGTGTGTAAAGTGTGAAAGTTGGTTTTTTGGGCTTTTTGTGGCTGTGTGAGGTTCCTGCTTGTTGCAGGGGCCATTTTGGGTCTAGCACAGCTGCTTTTACATTGTGGGTGAGCCAGTTGTGTTGTGTTGTGTTTTGTAGGTTAAAAAAGGACAAAGAAGTGACATTGACTTGGCCACGCCCACCTGACCAACAAGCCACGCCCTGCCAGTCACCTTATCACCAAGCCCCGCCCACTAATTAAGCCATGCCCATAGAACCGGTAGCAAAAATTTTTAGGTTTCACCCCTGACATTGACCCAGTCAATACACTGACCACAAAATATGTATGGTGTGAAAGGAAAATTGTAAATAAAAAATGAATTAGGAAAAAGAGTCAATGACTGAATAGCATCAGTTAGACTTAATGAAAAAATATTTGCTATAATAGTTATCCAAGTTATGCTCCAATTACTGATGTAAAAGAACCAGAGGTTGGTGAGATTTATCTTCATGTTCAAATTGAAATTGATAGAAAATGCAAGGAGTCGATACTGCTTGTGGTTGGAAACTGAAAACTCATTGTTGTAAGTAGCAAAGAGAAAAATGTAGTTGGACTACATGGCACAAGAAATAGAAATAAAGCGGAAGAATGGTACCAGTTTTTGCCAATCCAGTGATGTTTTTCATTACTACATAGTCTTCAACAACAACAACAACAAAAAGCCAATGTACATAGACCTTGTCAAACAGAGTACACAGCAATAAAATTGACTATATTATTGGTAAAAAGAGCTAGAAAAACTCAATTAAAACAGCAAAGACATTCCCACAGGAAATAGGTCAAGCAGCAGCAGAATCAGTAAAGATTCTACCTAAACTATGGCAGTGAAACTGGAAAAAGACATAGTGGCCAAGATTGGAAGACATGAGTCTGCATATCAATATCAAAGAAGCGACTTAACAGATTGTGCAAAATATTGTACAATATGCTACATTTCACATATTAGCAAAATAATGCTTAAGATCACTCGACACAAATTAGAACTCTACATAGGAAAAGGCGATAGCAGATGTTCAAGCTACCTTGAACAAGAAACAGGAAACAAGAGACATTAATGGGAAAGTCAAAGAATACCAAAAAGAAGTCAATAATATATAGTTCATTGAGACATTGAAGGTCTTTGAATGTTTCAACTATATCAAGCTGTGGAATATTTTTAATATGAAAATTGGAATTCTAAAACATCCCATTGGTCTATGCAAAACCTATACATAGGAGGGGAAGCCATAGAACATGGTGTATAGAACATGGTGGTGAGGGAGACAGATCATTCTGGAGAAAGTCCGTCTGTGTGGTTGGTCCAAGCTGACACTAACTTGATGGCAGATAATCAAGTAATCAATCAATAAAATATTTCATATAAAAGTCATGCATTAAACTTGTATCCCTGCTTTATTTGAGTGGGAAACAACTTCCCTGATATTTTCTTCAGTTTGGGGTTTTGCACATTCTACTGGCACTTGCAGTAGGGAGAAATGAGGTGGGAATATGGCCACTTCATTTCGCTTTCACAAAGCAGTTTCTAAGGAGCATTTCCCTTAAGTTTTCATTGAAACAACATACTTATCTGATGGTCTGCAATTCCTACTTTAAACTATAGAAATAGTTATATTGGTCTGGACTGAAAAATAAAGTTTCTGAAACAAGCACTTTATCACCATTATGTTGAATAAATTGCTATTATGACAATAAAAAGTACAGTTTCCAGTTATGGTAACTTTAACTTACCGGTGAATTACTGCAAACAGATCCTCTGTTGTTCGCGGTTTATTTGGAGACATCAAAAACTCTTCTACTTCAATTTGAGAATCCTCATTTATGGGTGAGATTATAGAATCATCACTCACAAAAGATTCTTCAAAAAAAGCAATAAAAAAAAACTGCTGAGAATCAGGTACCAGAATTTGATTACATAGTCTCCTTAATTAATGGAATTAGGTATATAAGAATCAGAGCTAAATATTGGATAAACTGTTAAATTAATATTAATGATAAAGAGCCCTTTTGTGTCTGAAAATTAAAAGGAATTGCAGATTTATGTATACACACACATAGATAGTCCTTGGTTTATGACAGTGCTTGGGAGTGGAATTTTCCATCATTAACCAATGCAGTCATAAAGTTTAACTGCATTGCTTAGCAACAGCAATCCCTGCAGTCCCAATTGCCATTGTCAGTCAAATCCCTCAATTTTTAGGCAAGGTAATTTCCTGCTGGCTTCCCACAGCCAAAGTCAGTGGGGAAGATGACAGGAAATTGTAAACCTCAGGTCAGCAGGCAGGTCAATGGCTGCAACTTGGTGACGAAGAGAGCAAGGGGAGTCCAGAAAAGCATAGTTCAAGGTCAGAGAGGGTGCATGAGAGGTGCAGCGTGTATTGGTGGGGTGGGCACAGAAAGATGCGAGGGAGTGTGAGAGAGGCATAGCTTGGATTGAACAGAGTGCATGAGAATATGTGAGCGGGGTAGTACAGGTTAGGGAGCGTGCATGAGTGCAAACACAGTGCAAACACAGAGTGGGGGATTTTCTATAGAAGGCAGCAGAGAAGGTTGTAAATGGCAATCACATGATCACAAGGTATTGCAAAACTGGTTGTGAGTGCAAACCAGTTATCAAGCTCCTATATCCGTGATGGCGAACCTATGGCACGCGTGCCACAGGTGGCACACGGAGCCATATCGGTGGGCACATGAGCTCAGCTCTGGCACACTGATTTTCAGGCGTTCTGGGTCCACCAGTCGGCAAACAGGCCATTTCCAGCCTCCGGAGGGCCTCCAGGGGAGTGGGGAAGGCCATTTTCGCCCTCCCCAGGCTCCAGAGCCTTTTTAGGAGCCTGGGGAGGGGAGTGAAAACAGGTCTACCGGATCCACTGTGCCATCATGGGCCAAAAATGGAGGGAGCATGGGGGGGTCGCGTGCACATGCATGGGGGGCGGGGCGCATAGAATTATGGGTGTCGGCACACGAACGCGTGACCCCCCTGCACTCCCCCCGCTTTTGGCACGCAATGGCAAAAAGGTTAGCCATCACTGTCCTATATCATGAGACTATGAGGGTGCTGGGATGGCTGAATCCCAAGAACCAGTCATAATAACTATTTGTTCAGTGCTGTTGTAACTTTGAATGGTTATAGGTCAAGGACTTAGCTGTATATTTCTTCGAAGAATCATACATCTATTAGTGCAATATGTTAGGGTTTCACTGAAATTAATGGAATTCTGGAAATTATCCATTAATACGAACAAATAACATTATTTCTAGCATTAGGTGCTACCATTAGAAATGTAGGAATAATTAAGAACTAACCTTTTAAGGTATCATCTTCTGTAGTTTCTTGTGTCTCAGCTGCTCTGCTATCACTGTCATCTGAGGCACTTTTGGTTGGAATACCTGACATGATATCATTTTCAGAGTATTTTTCACTTAGAGAATCTATATTTGAGATCTCTGGTTCATAATTGATATTCTCAGGCACTTTGTCATCAAGTTGGCTTATATCAAGCTGATGCTTCAGCTGATAACAAGTATCTGCTCCCCAAGTTAAGGAGTCAGACCGAGGAATATCTTCATGTAGTGGTTCATATTTTGACTTTTGTTCACAGTGTGCAGGTAATTCATATGGAGACTGCATGGGGTTAATGCTCTTATTCTGTTCCGATCCACAAGTAATTTTGCCTTTAAGATTACTTGGAAAAACTGTTGTGCCTTGTGGAAATTCAGAAAACCCACAAGCTTTATTAGCTGTATACTCTAGCAAAATCCCATGTACTGAATGTATTTGATCTGGTACACTCTTAGCTGCTGGAACACCCTCTACTAATGAGTTTAGATTCTCTTGACAGATATTTCTTTCACTAAAGGTTAAACTATCTTCTCCTAGTAGTTGTTCTGGGCTTATCTGTACTGGGGAGGGATTTATATAAGACACTATGGCATCTTCCATGAAGAACTGATGTGACACTTGTTTCTTACTTACACGTGGTTTCATTTTGCATGAAGAAATAGCAGTTACCAAACTATGTTCTTGAATGGGTAGAAAATCTGGATTGTCTTTCTGTTTCCTTTCTTCAGGCTTATTAATTGATCGAAGATGTACTGACTTCAGCACTGAAGGTGTAATAGCAAGAGCTGGTGAAGAATTAGAATTCAGTACTTCTTCTATCATATTTGATTTATTATTGTTAAAAGCATGCAGCTGGGGTCTGGGAGCATATGGTTTAATCAAAACATTATGAAGAGCACTTAGGTCAAGATGAGTAGGAGGTATAACCGGAAGTTCTAAGTCTTTGTTTAAAAATATGTTGCCATCTTTAGAAGAAGGTTGTTGTAATGAGGATTTCCTTTCTGGTACTTTTGGCTTTCTTTTATTCCCTCCTGGGGATAGGGGACCAGAAAAAAATGCTGTTGGAAATGATGATGTTGGGGTTTCTGACTGACTGGAATAGCCACTTGAAGGAGAAGCTAAACCAGCCAGTTTTTCTGGGGATGCCAATTTAAACTCATTCTCAACAGAAGGAAGAGAAGGAGTGGTGGCTCTTGATCCAGACTGTGATGTTTGAGATTCAGAACTTTCTGGTGACTTTATGCATTCTATGACCGTAGTACCCGTAGCAGTGCTTGAATTAGATAAAGATCTATAGGGATCATTAGATTTCAAGTCATTTAGAAGCCAGAGATCTGCATAGTGAGATTGTTCAGCACCTTCATCTTTAAATGATGCAATGTCCATGGAATCAAATGGGTGGCCCTTTACGTCATTTTCATCCTGATTATTCCAGGAAGGTTGCTGTTTACTTGGCAGGCTAGTACTTTCTACCCTTGAAGGTGTATTTGCAAACTCGAGGGGCAGCTTCATTTCCCTGGAAGTATGAGGCATATGTTGCTGCCCACTACTTATCTTTGGTTCTTTCTTCTCCAAAATATCTGTTCTAGTGTCAGATTTCCTTAAAGATGAACTGCGTTTTGGTGGGGCTGGCTTCACCTTTGGTTTCTTTAGAGATATGCCTGGTTTTCCTTGCTTCCTATGATCCATATAATCTTGCCAATTACAGTGAGTGAGATTGGAAGCAAAACTTGCATTCTGGCAATTTTCAGAGCCCACAGCTGCATAGTTACAAATATAACTTTTATTTCCTTTGAGTCCACAGTCAAAGTGCATGGAGGTATAGTAGCCTTCAGTATCAACTGAAAAATGTGAGCTAGTCTCTGCTTTATCCAATGGAGTCTTCTCTACAAAACTGTCATAAGTGGCCATGCTTGTAAAACTCGGACAGCCCAGACTATCAGTCTTGGGATGTTCGGGGCTGAAATCTTGATGGCAGGATGCATCATGATGATGATGCAAATAATTCCACTCACTGTCACTTGTGATGCTATTGTTAGGGTCATGTAGTACATCAGAAGTGAAAGAACTTGCCCTGTGGCCTCTAATTTTATGTTCACTGTAGTGTTCAATTATGAAAATACTTGAATCTTCATTAGCATTAGGGGCAATGTTCAGGGATAATTCTGAATCACAGTGTGAAGAACCTGTCAGTGGAGGTGAAGCAGCAGGAGGAATTGTTTCAGATGTTTGGGAAGGACATGTTGAGCTACTTCCACTCCAGTTTCCACTGGATGATTGATGTTCATCTTTCTGGTCCATGTGACTGCTGAGAAGAACCCCAGCTGTGCAAATAGAGTGAATTGGACTTCCAAAGGTATCAGAATTTGAAGAAATATCACAACTTCCAGAATCTACTATCCTTGATAACCTTGACCTCCCTCTTTCATTTGAGTTATGATCTGGACTATGAAAACGCTGGGAACAAGCTAAGCCCCTGGGATGGTGTTCCTGTGAACAATGGTTATTAATAGCATCCTTATTCTTTGCGGAGATTCGTTCTTGATTTGTTAAAAAGTGTTCTGCCTCATATGCTGAAATTTTGGTACCATTGTTGTGATCTTTTTCATTGGCTCTAGCACCTTCACGAGGAAGACTCCTTGATCGAACACGATTGCTCATTGATGTAAACATAGAATCACCATTATCTGTCAGCACCAATATGTTGCCAGCTGAATGAGACAGTGAAGTTACTGCACTTTGACCCCTCTGAGCTCGTATTCTTCTCCGGGATGGAGCAGCAATGAGAATATCTTCTGTTTGGCACTCAGAGTCTCGGGTACCTGATCTCCTGTTGATGTTATTAGAGAAGTCTGGATTTGCATGCACAATGACATTCCGTTCTCTTGCTACTGGTGATTCATCAGAATCTAGAATACATAGATAAAATTTTGTGAGTCATCACAGCTTTCAACTGGCTAACAAATTATGACATTGACATTGGCCTAAAAAGTTCACAAGGTAGATTTTAGTTTTGCTAATGCCAATTTTCACAAAGTAGAATTAAAATAAAAACAGTTGCTATCTTCACACTAGATATTTCACATAGCAATGCTTAACACTATCAAGATTGACCCTAAAGAGAAAAACTAATCTGAACAGAGGAATATTAATCTATTACTGCAATCCTCCCAAGTGGTGTTTTCTGTGCAAACTCAAAATGCATACTTGCAAAGGAATAATCAAATCATATGCATCTGAAATTAAGGAGCTGATTAGTTTTATGCCAGCCTGATCTTTCAGTTGTTGCCATAATAGAAGAATATTGATTCTTTAACAAGACAAGCTTAAGTGACCTTAATCTAGTTACTACTGTGACAGTTCAGTGTAAGAAAAAAGTGAATTTGTCTAATTGAATGAACTTAATATTTAGCAATTAAGAGAAAAAATAATACATAAAAATGGGGGGAAAACTAGTTGATCAAGTTTTCAGAACAGATAATATGTGTACAACTGTCTGGAATCGTCAGCATAATCCAAGTAGGAATCAGAAACAGAAGAGCTAGTTCTACTTTGTTGTAAAGCTACATTGACAGAATCTTGCAAGTCTGAAAGTACATCTCTTCCCCTCCCAAAGTTTCCTTTACAGTCCAAGGAACTAAGGAGAATCTCCTCTGAGCCTTTTGCCCTGTCCTCTATCAAATTGTGGAGTCTGCTGTCTCTTATCTTATCCGTTCCTTGACAGTGTCTTTTGGCCCAGTCTCCTAAACTTTTTCCCACATACCATCATCACTGGAATAGATCTTCTAAATAAATTGGTCTGTGGCAATTTATCAGCATATTCATTATCAGGAAACATTTGTTAGGTTTTTACAAGGAAAAATAATTTAAACTACTTACTTTTGATGTATAGAGCAAACTAAAAGAATACAATTCAACAGAAATCAGGTAAGATTGTATTTAGACAATGTGAGCTAGCGGTATATCTGTACTACTAAGTGACACCTAAACACATTGAGACTGATTCTGTAAGGAGCAATAAAGATGGGTGGCAATATTTACAAAAAATATGAAACAAATAAAACATACTAAATGCATCATACTTGAAACCAGAATCAGGAATTTGGAAAATCGTTGAAAGCAAGCTAGAGTTGCATTAAGACAGTACAACAGCTAGGAAAGATTTTATTTATACTCCACCTATTTCTTGTTGGACTCTTCTGGGGATGCCAGAGATGGTTTTTCTCCTTCTCAGTTTCCGTCTTCGTTGCAGTACGGATTGGGAGTGAACAAGTGAGCAGCGTATACTAGCTTCTCGGTCAAAACCAACTCCTGTGATTCATAAATAGGTGTCATTAGCTTTTAGAAACAATAAACAATGGTTTTGACAGGAAGACCACATTGGGTCAAATGAACTTTTCAGATTATGCCTGAAAATAAATAGAAGACAGACTTTAACATTGTTAAAAAAATGCATACCACAGCTAACCCTCACAAAAGAGAGAAGGAAGTGAAAGGAATGAGAGGAAGTTAGCTACTCTCCTTATAAGGACTATTTACTGAAATGTTTTTCAAGATTATTATGTTCTAGAGGCCCTGATATGTGTAAAATGAAAATTAGGATTCAGGAGGATGATCAAAAAATTTTCAGTTGTAAATTACTTAAAAAAAGGGGGGGGGGAGGGAAGAAAGATTCTATGCATTGCTGATATGTAATAAGGAGGTTAAGATACTATGACAAATCCAACTGTTTTTGGATTTTCCATATGTTAATCCATATAAAATATCATTCAGATTGATGTCATATTTGAATCTTTTGACATTGATTCCTAGGTACAAAAAAAGAGTCAATCAATTAACAAATATTTTGCCTCCAACTGGCAGAGTTTTCTAGAGCATCCTCCATTTCTAATAAAAATGTGTACTCTCAGTATCTGTCAAGAATACTAACTAGGTGGACTAGGTGCCATTGTGCAATACTATATTTAGCTTATTCTGAATTGTTTTATAATTAGTTATCAATTTTTGCTTTTAATTGTAACCTGCCAGGAATCATCTGTTGGGGACTGGGAGGTAAGATGTGACAAAATGTCCACATATATCATGACTTATGATACAAATACATAATGATGGGGCTTGCATTACAATATCATTGCACACGTCATTTTACATTATCATTTTTACAACATTGTGATTTACTGAGAATGCCACTGTTTTGGAGTGCAGTGGCATAGAAAATTCATAAAAAAATAAATGTACTGTTGTACTAACACACACAGTAATTATAATGGTAGGGTAATAATAGTTTAAGTTGTATAAGTATTCCCACTAAAACCTGATGCATTACAAAGTTGTACCAAAGCAGAAAAACATTTAATGCATTGTGTAGTTACAAAGGATAGGCTTAAGGAGAATATCTAAAAGCATTGCAGATAATTCAATGTGGCATTTTGATCATGGGCAAAGCATTCAATGGGAACACACTTCATCAGCCTTCAAGCAGCTGTATATGGTTTTGCTGCACACACTATCCTAACCAAAATGTTTTCTGGACATGGTCAAAAGAAACTGCCATTTCTCTGTAGGGAGTTTCCCTTCAGTAATTATTCAATCTAATATTCTTAATATTCCTAATATTGAAGGAATGAAGTGCCAAAAAAGACGCCTGGAGAGCGGTTGGAGGGCCAGCCGGTCTGAATCTGACCGAACACTGGTAAAGTCTCATATTAAGACTTACCTAGTGGCGATAAAAGCGGCAAAATGTAACTATTTTTCCGCTCTTATTGCATAAATCAGATAATCGCCCGGCCGCCCTGTTTAGGGTGACCCGCTCCCTGCTCCTTCAGGAAGCGCAGGAGGACCCCTTGGAGGGTAGAGCCGAGGATTCTGTACAGTATCTGTATGATAAAATCGCTCAGATTCGGGAACACCTGGACTCCAACGGGGTAGATTCAGGGGGGAGGATGGAGGCAGGTCTTGAGAATATTATCTGGGAAGAGTTTGATTCTGTGACTCCCAAAGACGTGGACAGGATACTGAGTAGACTGAACGCTGCCACATGTTTATTTATAAGGGCCTGGTGGCTCAGCAGACTAAAAGCATTGTGATTAACACCAACTGTTTGCAATTACTGTAAGTTCGAATCTCACCAGGCTCAAGGTTGACTCAGCCTTCCATCCTTTCTAAGGTAGGTAATTGCCCCCAGTTTGTGGGGGCAATAAACTGACTTTGTATAAATATGCAAAAGTATGAAGGCTATTGCTTAACACATTGTAAGCCGCCCTGAGTCTCCGGAGAAGGGCGGCATATAAATCAAATTAAAAAAAAAAATGGATCTGTGTCCCTCCTGGTTGGTGCTGGCCACTCGGGAGGTTACACAAGGCTGGCTCCAGGGGATTATAAATGCTTCTTTGAGTGAGGGTGTCTTTCCCGCCATATTGAAAGAGGCGGTGGTGAGACCTCTCCTCAAGAAGCCTTCCCTGGACCCGGCAGTGTTGGCTAATTACCGTCCAGTCTCCAACCTTCTCTTTGTTGCGAAGGTTGTTGAGAGTGTGGTAGCATGACAGCTCCCTCAGTACCTGGATGTATCGGCTTATCTGGATCCGTTCCAGTCGGGCTTCAGGCCTGGGTACAGCATGGAAACGGCATTGGTCGCATTGGTTGATGATCTCTGGAGGGCTCGGGACAGGGGTTGTTCCTCTGTCCGGGTCCTATTAGACCTCTCAGCGGCTTTTGATACCATCGACCATGGTATCATGCTGCACCGGCTGGAAGAGTTAGGGGTGGGGGGCACCGTGTTGCGGTGGTTCTCCTCCTTTCTCTCCGACCGGTTGCAGTCTGTGTTGGCAGGGGGGCAAAGGTTGACCCCGAGGCCCCTTGTATGTGGGGTGCCACAAGGGTCGGTCCTCTCGCCCCTTCTGTTCAACATTTATGTGAAGCCGCTGGGTGAGATCATCCGTGGTTTCGGGGTGAAGTACCACCAGTACGCTGATGACACTCAGCTGTATATCTCCACCCCGGACCACTCCAATGAAGTGATGTCCTGGTGCCTGGAGGCTGTACGGATCTGGATGGGGAGAAACAGACTAAGGCTCAATCCATCCAAGATGAGTGGCTGTGGTTTCCGACAGCCCGATATAGTCAGTTGGTGCCATCACTGACTATTGGGGGCGAGTCTTTGGCCCCCATGGAGAGGATTCGCAACTTGGGTGTCCTCCTGGACTCACAGCTGTCTTTAGAAGGGCATCTGACGGCTGTGGCCGGGAGGGCACTTTATCAGGTTCGCCTGATTCACCAGTTGCGTCCCTTTCTGGATCGGGACTCATTAAATACGGTCACTCATGCCCTCGTCACTTCCCACCTGGACTACTGCAATGCTCTCTACATGGGGCTCCCCTTGAGGAGCACCCGGAGGCTCCAGCTGGTCCAGAATGCAGCCGCGCGGGTGGTTATGGGAGCGACGTGGCGCTCCCATGTGACCCCGCTCCTGCGCGAGCTGCACTGGCTCCCAGTGGTCTTCCGGGTGTGCTTCAAGGTTTTGGTTATCACCTTTAGAGCGCTCCATGGCCTAGGACTGGGGTATCTACGAGACCGCCTTCTGCCACCAGTAGCCTCTCACCGACCAGTACGCTCCCATAGAGAGGGGCTTCTTAGGGTGCCATCGGTCAAACAGTGTCAACTGGTGGCCCCCAGGGGGAGAGCCTTCTCTGTGGGAGCACCTGCCATCTGGAACGAGCTCCCCCCAGAGATATGGAGAATCACAGATCTGCGCGCTTTCCGCCGTGCCCTCAAAACATTCCTATTCCAGCAGGCCGGCCTGGCCTAACCTCTTTTTTAAACTTTTTTAAATTTTAAATTTGTCTTATAAATTTGGGGTGTTTTAAAATTTTGTTTTCTGGGCCAAATTATTTAATTGTATTTTAATGGTTTTTTAACATTTGTATTATATGTATTTTACCTTTTGGCTGTTCACCACCCTGAGTCCTTTGGGAGTAGGGTGGTATACAAATTCAATAAATAATAATAAATAATAATAATAATAGTAATAATAATAATAATAATAATAATAATAATAATAATAATAATAATAATAATAATAATAATAAATATTGAACATAAGCAATGTTGATTTTGGCTTATAAATAATAACATTCTTTACTAACTGTATAAAACCTGTACTAACATCTTTATTTTTTTATTGTTTGTTTCCTTTGTAAGTGAGTCTTTCTTCTTACAGAAGAAAATGTCATAGTGAGTCCAAGCTTTCAGTCAATGGAAGAGATACTACAGATATATCAAAGCAGATTTCCTTCTCGTTGGTTTAGGAATTTATTACCATACTTTCTGTAGCATAGCCAAATGTCACACCTGATAAAGCCTACTTGTAAATTTGAAATGGGCCAATAGATTGGCTGCCCATGTAGCCATCTTGCAATTCTACATCACTGGGACCGTCATCATTCATATGTGGTTGGTTTTTTTGCTGTTTTCTTGATGTAGTTGGTTTTCTTACTGTGTGGGCATGATGGGATTGGCCAACAGTTATTTAGCATGATTTCTTGAAATATATGGAGGTGTGAATTTACCTCGGGAACCTTACTTATAGGAACACCCTATCTATGTGGAATGTTTATGAATCACTTCTCATTAGTTCTCCTACTCTCCTGAATGATGATACCAGAAATTTATCTGCCATATTGTTGTTTTAATTGGGATATCCCTAATGGGCTTCAATGGTGGATCTGTTATTGCTCACAGCATCAAGCAAACAATTTATTGTGGGCAATGGTGATAGGGAGATCCTTCATTTCCCAAAGACCTTTGGTAAGACTTTGATATACTTGAAATATATCAAAGCATATCAAGCTTCCAGTGGTTGCTTTGATATTTTGAGGAGTTGATTCAGAGGAATCATAGTGGCTCTTCAAAAAATTTACGTCTAGTGGTTATGACTTGAAAAGCCTAATGCCTCTTTAAAAAAAAAAAAAAAAAAAGCATTGGTATGCTCTTTGTTGATTGTTTTTGGCAAGCAACTGGGGCATCTTTATGCTACTGGTTCTTATCAGTATACAGGTGAAACTCGAAAAATTAGAATATCGTGCAAAAGTTCATTTATTTCAGTAATGCAACTTAAAAGGTGAAACTAATATATGAGATAGACTCATTACATGCAAAGCGAGATAGTTCAAGCCTTGATTTGTCATAATTTTGATGATTATGGCTTACAGCTCACGAAAACCCCAAATTCACAATCTCAGAAAATTAGAATATTACATGAAATCAATAAAACAAGGATTGTACATAGAACAATATCGGACCTCTGAAAAGTATAA